GGGGGGGGCGTGCTGTGTTTGGGGAAGACCAGGCTTTGATGCTCTGCATTCACATCTCAAGTCCAACGTCTACCACATCACGTTGGGCAGGCTGCTTTACGCCCGTCTTACGGGGTAATTTTAAGCGGCGGTAGCAGTGCAGTGCCCACTGCGCACAGGGCTGCTGCCGTGACAAAGGCTTTATTGTGCCAGTAACTAGGAGGGAATCATAATAAAGGAACTACAGCGATTAAGGAGTTTTGGTCTAAACACAAAGTCTTTAAACATATCTCTAACATATAATAAGCTCTCCACAAATGGTGGATACAGTAATAATAATTATTATTATAATGATAATTATCATTACACAACTATAATAGGAATCCTTCTATTATTCTACCACACAGATGCTGTGGACAAAACCCCTGGCCTGATCGTTGGCACACAAGAGGGCTCCATAGCATCACGGTGATTATTACGCTTCATAACCAGCCAGTACATGTCAGCAACGACTCCTATAATTTCATCAATACAGCAAATACAGGAACATGAATTATGCTCACATGAGAATTTAAATAGTGAGCACTCTAGAAATCTAGAAGAATAGGTTTTAATAAGAAGTAGTGGAATCTCTTTAGAAATAAACATACTGTTAAATGAGAATTTCTGGAGACCAAAATTAAACTCGTGAAACAGATCGAGTGAGATCCGCGTTCAAGAGTTCGGGCGGTGAGGCCCGGACGGCAGCAAGCACAGCAGATGGGGCGCTGGAAGATCCGCCGACGGCCACCATCGGGGCAGGGCTTGTGGGGGCAGTGGGCCGTCACCCCACAGTGGGCGCTGTGGCCCCAGCTTCCGGAATATAAATGATCAGCCACTGGCAGAAGCTCTGGAGTGGCTCATTGACGGATGTGGTCAAGGGCACAGAAATGAAAGCGTTAATGAACCGGCGACGAGTAGTCGGGAAAGAGGCCCGGGTGAGGAAGAACGGGAGCCCCGGGCCCTGCACAGCTGGCACTCAGTGACCAGGTAGCCAAGGGGACCAACTGTAGCAGCCACCTCTGTGCTCCTCGAGGGACTCATGGACCAGGTGCCACCGTGACAGGGAGAGCGGCTATACGTTAAACACGGCAGATTCCCATCCACAGGACGACAGGCTACTGCCACCACAGAGTGTCCCATACGCTACCAGCAGAGGACTACCAGCAGCCCTGAAAGGACAACATGGTCTGGGGGGACCACCAGAAGCCCTGCGAGCAAGCCGATGGTACGCAGTTTCCCTTTCATCATAGGGACAGCAGCCACCTGCTATTCCTGGACATATAATCCAGATGAAGACGTGCCCCCCTGTGCCCTTCTAGCTGTAACCCTATGGGGATGCCCTGCCCCCTGCCACGGAGCCATAGGATGCTGCTTCTGACCAAGAACCACCACTAACAGCAGGAGAAGCACCACAACACCCATAGGCTTCCCTGGTCACGTCAGGTACCCAGTTACCAGGTGGCCTCATGGAAGACTTAAGATATCAGCAAGGGTGGGAGACTTTCCTCCAAGAGACACATAATTTCTGACCAAGTGACCGCCATAAGGTTTCCTTTCCTCCTACTACCAGGACACACGAGTCAGGGAACCAAAGTGACATCATCTAAGGCAGCTAAGCTAAGTGAGCAGTTACACTAACTGGCCATGAATTAGAATTATTTTCAGACTCCTACTGAAAATTCATGTAAGGCCTCCTCCCTAAACAGGTTGGGGCCTGGGGATCTGTATTTTTACACACGCCCCATGGGAGTCTCATACATGGCCATGTTTTATTCAAATAATAGAATGAGCCTCCCTGATTAACCAGATGATACACTCAGATTCTCTGAATTGCAGTTTTCTTACATGTAACATTTAAAATCAAAATTATGTTTATCTTCCATCATCTTCCCAAGGATAACACGGAGTGATGCATGTGAAATGTCCCATGGCGTCTGAGTCACAGCGGCTGTTCAATAAACTAACGGTGGCTATTTTTATGTGAAAGCTATTATTTAGATGGACTTTCTGGTGAGGACGCTGGATTTTGCCTAAATAACTTTCTTGTCTGACACAGCCCTTGTTCAACATTTCAGAGTAAGTGATCGCTAAATATAGATTTGGTTCTTGGTAATATAAATCTTTAAACAATGAAAAAACGGCAAAGTGGTAAGAGAGAACGTTTAAGTGACAGCACATTATGAAATGTGATCATTTCCTTCAGAATTGGTATATTCCAGAAAGTGATTAATAAAAATAACAGTAATTTTAGCGTATTAAGAAAGGAAGCATGCCACAATGAGATATCACCTCACACCTGCCAGAAAGGTTACCATCAACAAATCAACAAATAACAAGTGCTGGGGAGGGTGTGGAGAAGGGGGGCCTGGTGCACTGCTGGTGGGAGTGAAGACGGGGGCAGCCACTGTGGAAAACACTATGGGGGCTCCTCAAAAAATTAAAGATGGAGCTGCCTTTTGACCCAGTGATCCCACTTCTGGGAATACATCCAAAGAAACCTGAAACACTAATTCAAAAGAATATACGCTCCCCCATGTTCATAGCAGCACAGTTTACAACAGCTAAGATCTGGAAACAGCCCCAGTGCCCATCGGTAGACGAGTGGACAGAAAAGCTGTGGGGCATTCACACCAGGGAATACTACGTGGTTGTAAAAAAAGGAAATCTTACCTTTGCAACCGCACGGATGAACCTGGAGAGTATTATGCTGAGTGAAATAAGCCAGGCAGAGAAAGGCAAACACCATGTGATCTCACTTATATGTGGACTCTAATGAACAAAATAAACTAACAAAACAGAAACAGACTCATAGATACTGCCTGTTGCCAGAGGGGAGAGGGGTTGGGGGACTGGGTGGTAAAGGTGAAGGGATAAGCAAAGACACTACAAAAACCACAGAACTCATAGACAGACGACAGTATGGTGATTACCGGAGGGAAAGGGGGGCGGGGGAGGTAGAAGCGGGAACAGGGGATAAATGGCCATGGAGACTTGACTCGGGGTGGGGAACACACAGTACAATATACAGCGGATGTATTATAGAATTGTACACTCGAAACCTAAATAATTTTATTGACCAACGTCACTCCAATAAATCCAATTAAAAATAAATTTTGAAATTCTCAAAAAAAGGAGACAGTTAATTGAATACATTCAAGTAGAATAACTATGTACAGGCAATTATTAAAACATGTAAAATCAATTTTAACTTGACGAAATACACAGGATATCAAGTGAAGGGTCAAAACGGCAAATAAGAGTATATACTTAATAAATTCAATGATGTGAAACAGGGGCATGGGAAGAGACGGAGCTCATCTAACGTGCAAACAGCGATCTGACAGGGAGACTACAGACAACTCACTTCTCTTCAGGATAATTTCCCTATCACTTCTACAAGGTGACATATTGCTTCCAGAATCCAAACCATAGGTACCTCAATATTATTTTATAAATGAACATAAAAGCCACAAATGCAAGTTTAAGATGCTACATATCCTGAACTGGCCAGTGTGACTGAATTCTCTAGAGCATCATAAATGTATCCCTGTATGTAGCTCCGCTGGAGATTCTAGTTAGCTTTTATATAGCACGTGTTAATAAAATGGGTGATCTAAAAGTACGTTATCTAATGCCTAAGAAAGCAGCCACTGTCTATAACGAGTATTACCTTTGCCTTGTCTCTCATGGAACCTTTTCCAAGGATGGACATTTTTGTCAAGGTTTCTTCTTGTAAACGCTTCAGAGAATTGCCACGTGGACCCAAAAGCTTCCCCACGAAGTTGAACTAGGGAAAATCAAAGAAACCGAACTTGTAACATTCATATCTGAAAGTAATTTCTGACTCTTAAACACTAGGAAACACTGTAGTATGTTCCGCATGGTTAATTACAAATATTTCAGGTCCTGCTACATGAATTGTGCTATTTCCACAAACCACATATAATGGGGCTAAAAAAGGTAAAAGAAAAAAAAATTGGTCTATTTCTCTATACCAATCACTTCCACGATGGCTGTATTTTACAAACTGTAAATGCAGTTAACTTCCTTGACAATTTGCACACACATTCAATATCCACCATCAGCAGTGCTAAGACTGGAATACAGGTGAGCAAAAAGGATGCGAGGTGTCATGTAATGTCACTCTACCGGTCATTAGGGACAACCCGGGTTCTGCTCCCCGGTCAGCACTTAGCCTTGGTCAGTCAACCAACGGGGCACTGGCCTAGACAAGTCCTTCAGCATCCAGTGGCTGACAAAACCTTCACCTTAAATCCACCGACCTCTTCTAGACAACCTCTGTGGCATGTGGACAGCTTATTCAGGCTCGATGCTTAGGGCTCTTTATTTGACAAGCAGAGTGGGCGTGAGTTAATTAAGAGCCTGCACTCTGAGGCTAGGCTACCGTGGCTTTAAAACCCGGCTTTTCCATTTAGCAGCTGAGTAACCCTGGGCAGGTGACTAACCTCTCTGTACCTTGGCTTCCTCACCTGTTAAATGGGACCTACCCTCATGGCGCCGTTCTGAGGGATTCAACGGGTCCATATAAATAGATTAGTTAGAACAATGCTTGGCACAAAATAGACAATAAATATATCTTGAATGAAAGAATTATTAGGGATTTCATACAAGTTTTTAAAGCCTTACTGTAATTAAGGTAAAACAGAAATAGAAAGACAGGCTTGTTTATTACCCAAGGATATGATTTTGAGAGAGAGTGGAAGGGAGGGGTGGAAGGGAGGAAGGGAGGGAGGGGGGGAGAGAGAGAGGTAAGAGAGATACATCAACTGGTTGCCTCCTACACACGCCCAGGCCAGGGCCTGGAATCGGACCTGCAACCCAGGTACGTGCCCTTGACTGGGAATCCAACCCAGGTCCCTTCAGGGCTCGGGCGGGCGCTCCAACACGGAGCAATGCCAGCCAGGGCTTTAGGCAAGATTCTTGATACCAGCCGCTTTCCATGATCCACGCCATGGCCATGCTGCTGCTGTTTTAAAGAGAAAAATATTCCTCCATTTGCCTAGCTATGATCATTGGAGTAATTTTCCTGAAATACCTACTTTAAAAAAAAAAAAAAAAAATCCTCCTTGCCCAGTTTTAATTTTATTGGTCTTCAACAAAACTCAAGTATCTATTTTTAACCTTCACAGGCAATTTCTTTTATTTTTAAATTTTAATTTTAAGTAAATTATTTTTTAAAACATATGATACAGAGTTTAAAATGTCAGACACGACTTCAAGGCAGGGGGGGATTCGTTGTCTCAGCCCACCCACCCCCACCTCCTCCTTGTTCCCGTTTCTCTGCTTTACCTTTTTGAAATTTCTATTATTTGGCCATCGGAGCTCCCAAGTTGGATTGTGAAGTTTCTTATTTTCCTCTCTCTCTCTCTTTCATCTTCTCTCATTCCTCTCGCTCTCTTTCATCTTCTCTCATTCTTTAGTTTTGGGAGATTTAATAACATAAAGTCTCCATATCTATTGATTCTTTCATTTCCACTATCAGATGTTTAACTATTAATAGTACTTTCTTATATTTGTCCTTTTAATCTTTTTTATTAAAAAATTTTATGGAGCCCTGGCCAGTGTGGCTCAGCGGTTAGAGTGTCAGCGCACGGGCTGGAGGGTGCCGGGTTCGATTCTGGCCAAGGGCAGGTACGTCTGCTGCAGGCTCCATCCCTGGCCCTGGTCGGGTGCGTGGGGGAGGCGACCCGTCGATGTGTCTCTCTCACATCCGTGTTTCTCCCTCCCTCTCCCTCTCTCCCTCCGTCTTTCTCTCTCTCTCTCTCTGAAAAGCAATGGAAAAAAGACCCTCAGGTGACGATTAAAGAGAATTTTATGGAAGCAGTCAAAGGTCTTATCTTCCCGAGGATATTAGCGACGGCAGCTGTCGCCCGCCGTGTTGTGAGCTGGTCTCTCTCCAGCAGTGACGTTCCTGGGAAAAGCCGAAGCTGAGGCTCTAGAATGCTGGCTGGAAACCCGCTTTCACACACGGGCTTTGACAGTCAGGCCCGACACTCTGCCGTGCCATGTATCTGCATTTCTCTCTGTTTTTTAAAGAATACCTTACTGATTTTGAGAGAAAGAGGAAGGGAGAAGAGAGAAACAACATCGATCAGCTGCCTCCTCCATGCCCTACAGGGGATCGAGCCCTCCACCCAGGCATGTGCCCTGCCTGGGAGCTGACCCGGTGACCGTGCAGCGCACAGGACACGCTCAACCAGCGGAGCAACGCCAGCCAGGCGGCCTCCGCATCTCCCTTCTCCAGGGCACCGAGCGGAGGAGGAATTCCCAGGGCCGTCGGCCTGGCTGCGGGGATCCTGAGGCCCCGCCAGCAGGCACACATCCCGCTTTACTTGTACATGAAGCGATCCCCCGTTTCCAGTGTGTAGCTCACTGGTCCCCGATTCGGCCTCTTCGGGAAATCTCTAGTCTGTTACGGGGTTAAGGGCACAGGCCGGGTCATCAGCAGGGGCGGCCTCTGGGAATCTCACTGCTTCTCAGACAACCTTCCTACCGAGTCTCCCCTNTCGCCCGCCGTGTTGTGAGCTGGTCTCTCTCCAGCAGTGACGTTCCTGGGAAAAGCCGAAGCTGAGGCTCTAGAATGCTGGCTGGAAACCCGCTTTCACACACGGGCTTTGACAGTCAGGCCCGACACTCTGCCGTGCCATGTATCTGCATTTCTCTCTGTTTTTTAAAGAATACCTTACTGATTTTGAGAGAAAGAGGAAGGGAGAAGAGAGAAACAACATCGATCAGCTGCCTCCTCCATGCCCTACAGGGGATCGAGCCCTCCACCCAGGCATGTGCCCTGCCTGGGAGCTGACCCGGTGACCGTGCAGCGCACAGGACACGCTCAACCAGCGGAGCAACGCCAGCCAGGCGGCCTCCGCATCTCCCTTCTCCAGGGCACCGAGCGGAGGAGGAATTCCCGGGGCCGTCGGCCTGGCTGCGGGGATCCTAAGGCCCCGCCAGCAGGTACACACCCCGCTTTACTTGTACATGAAGCGATCCCCCGTTTCCAGTGTGTAGCTCACTGGTCCCCGATTCGGCCTCTTCGGGAAATCTCTAGTCTGTTACGGGGTTAAGGGCACAGGCCGGGTCATCAGCAGGGGCGGCCTCTGGGAATCTCACTGCTTCTCAGACAACCTTCCTACCGAGTCTCCCCTCTCAGTTCTGCCCCACGAACCCGCCTTCACGGTGACTGGTGTCTGCACCCGAGTGCCCCCAGGTCTCCGCGGGAACGGCCTGTTCCCGCGGCCTTCTGGTCCTGCGCGCTCAGGCTTCTGCGCGCCCTGGTCTCTGGCAGCGGGACCATTTCCATGCCCTCCCTTCGCAGCTACCAGGGTTTACTGGCAGCATTTGCCGACTGTTGTTGCCTCAACTCTTATCTTCACGGATTTGTGCCTTTTTAATTCACTTATACTCAGTTTAGCAGGTTTCAGGGATAGCATAAAATTAAATGGATGTGGTCAAACAGCCATATTTACATTTCTTTAACAGCTAAATAGTTCCCAATTAATAACTATTAAGGGACCTTAGAAGTCATCCCATCCAAACACAGAATGTTATTCTGAGAAAACTGACATCCACGGAGCGATGGGACTTATTCAAGGTCACTTGATAAGACATAAAACACAGAATTCTCTATCAGAAGAAGCACTTTCTATACTTGTATATACCTGTAGGAGTTTCCTTTCTCCATGTAACGCCTCTTAGTATTATTGCTTATTCTGACAATCAGAGCCCCTTTATTTCCCTTTGTCCACCACGAGCCTCTGACCTCTCATCTGCAACACAGGGATCGCACTACCTACTGCGGCGCCCGCGGTGCGAATGAAACAAAAACGATCACGTCACCCACCAGCTGGGCCGGTCGACTGGGCACTCTCTCGGCCGTATTTCGTAATTAATAAATTGATGAATATAACTAGTGTGGAGACACAGGATTTTATGTGAACGATGCCCACCTTTCACTGAGAACTAGCTCTTCCTCCACAAGGCCACCTACCAGGGAGCCACCACACGGAACCGATGCGAGCCCAGGCCACACCGCCTGCTCAGGGGCTGCTGACCTCTGCCTGGAGGTCAAGGCAGCCTGAGAGTCAGAATTAAGCCTGTGGAAACTGAGGATCCTCAGAGCTGAGTCATCCGTGGTAATGGACTTGGTCTGGTTCTCAACATCTATTGCATCAGCTCCCAGGGGGCATTGGGAAATAGATGCTTGTTTGGTTGTTACAAGACTGTGGGTAGCTACTGGCATTTGGTGGGCAAAGACCTAGAATGTCACACATCAGAAATGACCACCCTTCCCATTGCAGAGTGTCCTGTAAAACATCAAGCGTGTTCTGGTTAGGACACACTCCTAGAAAGAAGAGCCAGACTCTGGTTACTCTCTATTTCTTAAGCTTAAACGCCAAGTTACAGTCCTCTCCGTTTACAAGTTCAATGCCTCCAGGGATTCTACAACATACCCTAATGTAGCCAAAACAAAACAAAAGCTAGGCATGGCCAGTGCTTGCAACGAGAAAAGGAATGGCTGGGCTGAGGGTGTATCTTGGGCCCCTTGGATGATACAGAAATAAACACCTTGGGCAGCATCGCCCTGCCTGTCACGGGCCCTGTGGCCTGCTGAGTCCTGCCAGCTAGGGACGTCCACAGGTGTCTGAGCCACGACCCCTCTGAACCAGCCATGTGTCACGGCCCAGACCTGACTGTCACCATACTCACCAGAGCTGTGGCTTACAAGAGCCGGTGCTCTGCAGGGTTATTACAACGATTAAAACCCAT